TGAGGAGTAAGTGCACAGTGACTCCTGTTGTTGACTTAAAAAATTGACACTCTTGTTTATGGCATCAGTAATCACCCTAGGCTCTTGTCATGAGCTGCCAAGGCTATGGAAGCCCCCTGAGTTCACCGACTCTGATCATATTTAGACAAGGTCATGGTCAAAGTGGAAGTTCTCTCCTCCCTTCAGAGAAAGGTACCTCCTTCTTTGATGACCCGTTCTTTCCACTGGGATCTCACTCACGGAGATCTTTCATTTAGGTGTTTTTTTTTTTTTTTTTCCCCCAGAGTGTCTTGGCTTTCCATGCCTGAAATACTCTCAAGGGCTTTTCAGATGGATCTGCATGCCTTAAGGGCTGATTATGAGGCCAGAGTGCTGTTAGGACATTTGCCATTCTATGGGTCTGCTGTGTATCTCACTTCCCATGTTGGATCATTCTCTCCCTTTTTGATTCTATCAGCTAGTATTTGCAGACACTAGTCTTGTTTATGTGATCCCTTTGGTTCTTAGTCCTATCATTATGATCAGTTTTGAACAGAATCTGATCACTGGGACTAGTGAGATGGCATTGGTACATGCCACCTCGATGGGATTGAATTCGAATCCCCTGGTATGTTTCTAACTCTACCATTTGAGGTAAGTCAGCTTGAGCGTGTCCCGAATTGCACATCAGAGAGAGAGAGAGAAATCTTTAAAATAAAAAAAATATATATATGAATTTCCTTCTCTAGACTAGGTGGGTACCTTGCCCCCCACTAGGACTTCAGGTCAGACTCATTGTCAGTGTTGTCTACAGGGTTCTCCCTCATGCAATATTACCAGTGGCATGGGCTGCCTCAATCTGCCCTGACCTAGCTTTCAGAATCTGGCATTTCCTTCAGCCCCTGGCTGCAGAAAGCATGTGAAATGTCCATACTTGCTTCTGCACATCTACTTTTTCCACATACTAAACAGTGTACCTCTTGTTTCTGTATAATTTCCACTGCAAACTTCTCCCCAAGTCTCATCTGGGGATTCACCTGCTTTTTTTCTGCTATCTTGCCCTCATCAAAACCAGTATATTTTTCCTTATTAATTTCATATTTTAAGAATGTGGAATTTGGAAAAGCATCCTTTCTTCCACGTTCTTTCAGCTATTTTCTTAAGTTTATCAATCAATTATTAGGAGCAATTAATTTGTAAAACTGGGACACTTATAATAGTAAACATTTTAGTTCTCACTATTAGTTGCTTTCCATAATTTTGCATGAATTTTTAATTAAACCTTATGCCACTGTTATGGAATAAGTGCATTAATTTTGTTTTATTTATGAGAAAAGTCAGGCACAACAAAATTAAGTCATGTAGATAGGGACTCTGTTTCCAAATGTTTTACTATTTATGTACACTATACAATACTTTTTGAAGAAATGGAAAATGGTAAAAGTACAAATATTCAAAATCATATCTGACATTAAATATATGTACATATATATCCTGAAATTTATACTTTTATTATTACATATAACAATTTTGGTTGAGATATTAAGCCTAAAATTGGATACATGCGATAACTGATTCTAGCTTCTTGTTAATGCACACCTTGGGGTGGCTCAAATGGATGGGTTCCTGACACCTGTGTGGGAGATGTGGATTAATTTCCCTGTTCCCAGCTTTACCCTGTCCCGTCCCACCTGTTTCAGATATTTTGAGACATAAAACAGCAGTTTGTGGCTTTTTTTTTTCTCTCTCTCTCCCTCTCAAATATATAAAATAAGAAAAGATATTTAAAAATCAGTTTCTTATCACAACACAATACCATTTACAAACTGGCCTTTTTTTCCCTTTCCAGTATCATCTCTGCCTATGTTCTTTAAGATTCAGCTCACACTCCCAAGGCGCGAGGCTGGATTTGATATTCTTTATGTTTGTTTATATCAAAGATAACCTTAAAGCCAGGCTTCCTAACAGAACAGATCTATTGTATTCACTGTCTCCACATCTCTTCCTCTATGCCTTTGATAGCTTGAAAAGTTCACATCCCATAATTAACAATAATTTTATTTCATTTCGTTTTTAAAGGTTTTATTTATTTGAAAGGCATATTCACAGAGACAGAGAGCTAGAGCAAGAGACAGAACTTCCACTGATGAGTTCACTCCCTACCTGGCCACATCAGGTGGAGCTTGGCCACGCTGAAGCCATTCCTGGAATTCCATCTAGGCCTCCTGCGTGGATTCCAGGGGCCCAAGGACTCCAGCAATTTTCAGCTGATTTCCAGTCACAGGAGCAGAAAGCTGGATCAGAAACAGAGCAGCTGAGACTTGAACCAGTGTCCTATAGAGGACGCTGGTGTCACAAATGGTGGCTGAATCCCCCGTACCACACTTAACCCCCTGTACCAACAATCTGCTTTTTATAACTTACCCCGAGGATATACACACAAATATCCCTCCTTGTTAAACTAACAGTTATTGAACACTCTTCTTGAATAAAAGTAATATGTTACATAGTTGATAGGTAGATGGATGACAGATGAAGAAGATTAGAGAAAGAGAGAGAGATTATTTGACAATTATATATCACTTGCTTTTTCTGTTAACACTTCTTTTCCATGGCATGATGCAAGGTTTTCTACATAGTTCTCTATTTGTTTATTATTATCTCCTTTAGAATCTCCATCTTCCCTATATGGCAATGTTGATAATGCTAGAATTTTTATTTTAAGACTTTTCTATTTATATACTAAATATTGTGTTTCTATTTTTTATTAATTGACTTTAACACAAGTCTGTTTCATAGAATTAGAAAATGTCAAACTGTCCAGTGAGATCACAGAGTTCAATAAAAAAAAAAACATGCTACATAGTTGGCAATTCGGACAATGAAATGGGTAAGAAGAAATTAAAGAGATGGATTTAGAAATACAGAGTTATTTATTTGAAAGGCAGAGTGGGAGAAAGAGTTACAAGAGAGGCACATGTAGGCTGACAAAGCCAGGAATCAGGAAATCCATTTAGGTCTCCCACATGGGTGGAAGAACTTGAGTAACTGGCCCATATCAACTGCCTTTCCAGGAGCATCGCTAGGCAGATGGAGGAGAAATGGAAGAGCCTGGACTCTGGCATGCCAGCTTGGGATGCAGGTGTCCCCGGTAGCAGCTTGAACCACTGCGGCACAACGCACGCTCCAAGATGGAATTTGTGAAATGCAGAGAAAAGTAAGTATGAATATATCTACATAAAACAGTAAGTATATTTCCAAATATAGTCTCAAACTTGCCCGTTTGGTGCTGAGAAGATGACGAAATATCCAAGGCAAAGACATAGGATGCATAGTAAAATAAAATAATATTTTGATGTTAGGCCAGGAACATTTCAAAATGAAATAGTCACTAAAATTGAATTGTCCAAGTTCAACTCTTGTTCCTACATGTGGCCCTACAGATCTTTAGGATTATATTTACTTACTATTATTATTACTTTCTATTTTGGGTAGCTTCCAGACTGTGGACTTAAGATCCCTGAGAAATCAGGACTAAGAAATGATAGAAGCAATTCTCATATTCCTAAGTATTGTGTGTAGTTATAAATAAGATTTATATACATGTTAATTTCACATGTAAGTATGTATGACTTTAGACATGAATGCATACACACAAATATAGATACATAGGCTATATTGACTCAGAAATTATGGAATTTATATCTTCCTCAGCCTATAATGCCCTTCTTCATACTCCAATAATTCCTTCTGCCTTCACATTTAATCTTTACTCATACTTCAAGTCCCAGTGGAAGTATGACTTCTTAAAGGCCCACTTTCTTTATAATATTGAGCTTTGTTGCTGTTATTAGTTAACATGTCCATTCACATAATAACTATATATATATATATATATATCTGTGCTTTATATGTTGACATGGGTTTAAAAAGGGGAAACTGTTATAGTATTATGTAAGTGCATAACACTTCTATTTTTATGGAGTTACTACTAGTGGGGAACAAATTTTTCTGTGAAAAGTGCTCAAATAAGTCCAGAGTATTATGAGAATTCATAAATTTGAACATTCTCTAGTGTGGAAATGGTTGCAAATTTTTCCCATTAATATCATATTTATAAGAATGAAGGAGACATTATCTGAAGACTTGACATTCAGCTGTAATAACTTATTGCTCAAATATGATTAAAATTTGAAGTTTTATAATTTTTTCAGTACACTCTTTCCAAATAACTTAAATTTATTTATAATTTTATTTTACATTACATATTCTACTACATGGGTAATTATATTCATTGACTTTGTAATATAGCATGCAGTGGCCATCAGATCACATTATTTGTACATAAAAAGAAAAAATATTCAATGTAGTGCACTTATATTCAAATCATCATGGTAGCCAATTTTGTACTAAGTTTTCCAGTGGGTTCAAAGCTGCTTTATGATGTTCAGATGCAGATGTCCTCAGTATGGTGTCTGGGCTTGCTATGACTTTACCAGAAAACTAATGACTTGAAAAGATGAGAATGGTTATATTTTAGACAGAATTCTGAGACTTTCGCCAGCTGGTAAAACAGAAACATTTAAAACTACAGTACCAGAAAGAGGTATAGGAGAGCTGCCAGATGTGAGCATTAGAGTTACATAATCATCATATTCTCTTATGCATACCAAGAAAAAAAAGAAAAGCCGGGAATTAATGAGTGGATCCAATTGCTCACTTGATTTTGTCAGAGGCAGCTCTGCCAAGTCTTGGCTATGCACTTCATTCATTAGAAAAGACTTCCACTCGTATATGTTTTATGTATAATATGATAATTTAAACATCTTCCTTTTATATTGTAGCGTCATAAACAGAGTACTTCTCCCTGTTTACCTTTTAGTACTCTTGCATTCATCCAAATTTATGTAATCACAGTTTCCCAACCATGCCACATGAACACCTGCTTTTACTCTTCTATCATGCTGTTTTATTTGTTGGATGGCTTCTTGCTTAATCTCTGATTTTTTTTTCCCTAGTAACACCCATACCCTATGGCCCCTTTAAAACTACTGTTATAATTATATAGTTATATAGTGTACCAGAGTCAGGTACTGGAGTTCTTGCCTTTCATGTGGGAGACCTCGATGGAGTTCCTGGCTCCTAGTTTCAATCTGGCAGCTGCAGGTATTTGGGGAGTGAACCGGTGGATAGAAGATTACCTCCACCCCTATGCCTACCCCTACCTCTCCCTGTGCCTTTCAAATAAATAAACTGCCAAAATCATTCAATATATATAAAATATACCAGATAAAGTATTGTCTAATCATGAAAGGTACAAGCTATTTTTCAACATAATTTATTATTGACAATATGTCATAAAATGGACAATAAAGTCATATTTTCTCTAAGATATATATATAGTCAACTTTAAAAATAGCATAAGAAATTTTAATAGTAAACTGAACAAAGACTATCATACTATGCCATCTTTTTGTGATTAGCCATGTAATATTGGTTGTTTTGCAGATATACATATGTAAATCTGACCAGAACACTGTTATCTGAGTATTTTCATATAACACTCCCCAATACTTTGCTTTTGTCCATCTGTACAGAAATTTATAAACTATAATTCATACAAGGAGATATTAGATTTTTTGAAAAAAATGTAATTAGCATCATTTTATACTATGGTACTTGATATTTTAATATTATTTTTAAAGATTATTTACTTTATTTGAAAGTCCAAGTTACACAGAGAGAGATATATCTCCCATGCAATGGTTCACTGCCCAGATGGTCACAATAGCGAGTGCTGGGCCAGGCTGAAACCAGGAGCCAGGAGCCAGGAGCCATCAAGGTCGCCCCGGTGGGTGGTGGGGACCCAAACACTTGGGCCATCTTCCACTGCTTTTTCCAGGCCGTTGTAGTGAGCTGGATCAGAAGCGGAGCAGCAAACAACTGAACTGAAATCCATATGGGGCTGGCGCTGCGGTTCAATAGGCTAATCCTCAGCCTGTGGCGCCTCACCCTGGGTTCTAGTCCCGGTCAGGGTGCCGGGTTCTGTCCTGGTTGCCCCTCTTCCAGTCCAGCTCTCTGCTCTGGCCCGGGAGTGCAGTGGAGGATGGCCCAAGTGCTTGGGCCCTGCAACTGCATGGGAGACCAGGAGAGGCACCTGGCTCCTGGCTTTGGATCAGCGCGGTGCGCCAGCCCCAGCGCTCTGGCAGAGGCGGCCATCGGGGCTGAACCAATGGTAAAGGAAGACCTTTCTTTCTGTCTCTCTCTCTCTCTCACTGTCCACTCTGCCTGTCAAAAATAATTAAAAAAATCCATATGGAATGACAGCCTTGCAGATAGGGCTTTACTCACTTCCTCAAAAGGTGGCCAGTATTCAATATATTTTAAACAAATATACATAGAATAATATTCCTTAACATTAAATCTTGTCCAAATCTCTTCCTCAAAAAAGTATAATGTGGGGGGGCTGGCGCTGTGGTGCAGCAGGTAAATACCCTGGAGCAACGGCATCACATATGGGTGCGGGTTCAAGTCCCGGCTGCTCCACTTCAGATCCAGCTCTCTGCTATGGCCTGGGAAAGCAGTGGAAGATGGCCCAAGTCCCTGGGCCCCTGCACCCACATGGGAGACTTGGAAGAAGCTCCTGGCTCCTGACTTCAGATCAGCACAGCTCTGGCTGTTGCAGCCAATTGGGGAGTGAACCAGCAGATGGAAAACCTCTCTCTCTGACTCTCCTCTCTCTCTAACTCTGACTTTTTAAATAAATAAATCAATTCAATCCCATCAAGGTGGCATGTACCAATGCCATCTCACTAGTCCAAGTGATCAATTTCAGTTCACAATTGATCATAATGAAAGGACTAAGAGTCAAAGGGAGCACATAAACAAGTCTAGTACCTGCTAACACTAACCGATGGAATAAATAAAGGGGAGAGTGATCCAACGTGGGAAGTGAGATACTCAGCAGACTCATAGAATGGCAGATGTCCTAAATAGCACTCTGGCCTCAGAATCAGCCCTAAAGGCATTCGGATGAGGCTGAAAAGCCCATGAGAGTATTTCAGGCATGGAAAGCCAAGACACTCTGGCAAAAGATCTCTGTGAGTGAGATCCCAGTGAAATGAACAGGTCATCAAAGAAGGAGGTACCTTTCTCTGAAGGGAGGAGAGAACCTCCACTTTGACTATGACCTTGTCTAAACAAGATAAGAATCGGAGAACTCAGAGGGCTTCCATAGCCTTGGAAACTCATGACCGGAGCATAGGGAGACTACTGATGCCATAGACAGGAGTGTCAATTGGTAAAGTCAACAACAGGAGTCACTGTGCACTTACTCCTCATGTAGGATCTCTGTCCTTGATGTGCTGTGTATTGAGATTTAAAGCTATAACAAGTACTCAAACAATATATTTCACTTTGTGTTTTTATGGGGGTGCAAACTGTTGAAATCTTTACTTAATGCATACTAAACTGATCCTCTGTTAAAAAAAAAAAAAGAAAGAAATTATCAACTCCCAACTTGACTCTCACTGGGATTAAACATGACAATAGGTCTGATCTGATTTCATCATCATTTAGAAAAAAAATCATCTATTATTTCTCACTTTGTGTTTCTGTGTGAGAGCAAACTGTTGAAATCCTTACTTAATGTATACTAAGCTGATCTTCTGTATATTAAGATAATCGAAAATGAATCTTGATGTGAATGGAAGGGGAGAAGGAGTGGGAAAGGGGAGGGTAGTGGGTGGGAGGGACGGTATGTGGGGAAGCCATTGTAATCCATAAATCGTACTTTGGAAATTTATATTCATTAAATAAAAGTTAAAAAAAATAAAAAAAAAATAAACAATACAAAACAAAACAAAAAAGTAAAAGTATAATGTGGGTGTTGTACAATGGATTAAAGAACAGTGGCAGCAGTCATATTTAGATTTTAAAATTTCTAATTAGCCCATCCAAAATGGCTAACAACACTAAATTTCTCAATTCCTATTAGAGCGATGCACTTTGTTTTAAACTTTAATCATTTAATTATAGAACATTAAGCTTCCCTTGTTCCTCTGAAATTAACTGGTATAACTTGTTAAAATTTTTATAATCCAGGGCTGGCGCCATTGGCTCACTTGGAAAATCCTCCCCCTGCGGAGTCAGATCCCATATGGGCACCGGGATCTAGTCCCGGTTGCTCCTCTTCCAGTCCAGCTCTCTGCTGTGGCCCAAGAAAGCAGTGGAGGATGGCCCAAGTGCTTGGGCCCCTGCACCAACATGGGAGACCAGGAAGAAGCACCTGGCTCCTGGCTTCAGATTGGCACAGCTCCAGCCATTGCAGCCATTTGGGGGGTGAATCAACAGAAGGAAAACCTTTCTCTCTGTCTCTCTCTCTCACTGTCTAACTCTATCTGTCAAATAAAAAAAAATCCAAAAATGACTAAGTATAAAGTTGAAGAATTATATTATATTTATAATATTATAATTCGTAAGTTATGCTCATAAACCATTGTATATAGTTAGTTTCAAACAATAAGAAAATGCTTGAAGTATATTTGTCTTGATATCTAACTTTCTGGAAATATTTAGAATCTCTAAGAAATGTGTGGCCTAAAAGGTTGTCTTGTAGAATAGATTTTATTTGGCCTTATTCATAATAAGAAATTTGTATTATCATCCGTGTCACTCACAAGCTAAAGATAAATGAATTTTTAAAATAACTCTTTTGTATGGATGAAAATAATGTTCTTATTTACTTATTTAATTCAGGAATGAAATAAGTTTAACAATGATGAAACTACATCTCAGAGCAACTAGTAATCCGGTCCATTAGTCAAAGACATTGAGTTAGTGACCCCAATGCCATAGCCATCCAGCTACCTCGTGCCCATCAGCTAATACAAGTAGATCTCTATTTCTATGACCAGTCTCACTGAGCTAACTTCTCATATTTTCAAAACAGTAGTCAAAATCCTGAGAATTATCTATTGTTATTGAATAGTTACATAAGCTTAAAGACTATAATTGAGTTTATCATTGTTTTGGTAAATTCTCGGGTAGCTGAAAAATATTTTCTGTTCTTTATGGCTAATAACTAATGTAGAAATCTTGTTATATATGACATTGATGATAATTTTATTTCAACATGTGTCCACAGAAATACATGTACTATGTAACTTTTAGCTACACTTTACATGTTGTTTAAGATGGGCTAATATTTTCAAAATGTTGATATGCATAGAATATGACAATATTTACAATACAGGATGGAAAACTATATTATTATCTTTGGCTAGAGAGACTTGACCAGGGTCTTTGGCTGTCAAGGATCAGATAATCAATATCTTAGCACCGTATAACACTACTCTGCCAATGAATTGGAAAACACCTTTTGGTAACTTTTTGTTAAATAAGTTAGACATCATTGTCATGACATTTAACATAAACTGTACTTGTGTTTTTCTATGAGTAATGTTGACTGAGGCAGAAAAAGCTGACCTATTGGTGGAGATCAATCCAGATAGCATTGCTGAAGTTTAAACGTTAAAAATCAGCCATCATGATAAACTCCCTTTGCCACATCAGACTGAAAAATGATAATGAAGTGGAATTTGTCTGTGATGTGAAACATCTTACCCTGTTGTGAAAGAAGGCCACACCTGATACAGAGATAAAACATAGTGGAATTCAAATGTTTAAAAGAAAACTAGCACACAAAATGTTCTGAAACTGGAATTATTCATAGTTGTACATTTCCCACCATTTCTCTGACAAACACTTATTAGGTAATATTGATTATATTAGGTAATATTGATTATAATAAATAGATAGCCAGGATAGATCTGAAAAAAAAGAAAAAAATGAACAGTTATGTGGAAAATAGAATATTTCCAAATTTACAGGCAAACTAAAAGCCTGATTTACCATTTGAAAATGAAAAAATAACTTGCATTGGTAAATAGTTTTTTTTAAGATAGTAACATGTGTTAAGGAAAATTAGTAAATTTAACAAATTAACTATTTTATAATCTCTGTAAAGTTAAGGTGAGATGAATTTGAAATTTAACCAGAAGGTATATAATAAATTAAAAAATAAATTCTGCTGGGAAGAAATAGGAGAAAGGGAAAGAATGGAAACAAACAAGCATCTAGTGTAAGGTAGACCAGAAACAATGATACAGAAATACAAAGAGTGATATGGCAAATGATGTTAAATTTCCAGCTTTTATTGGACTTGGATCTATTATTTAATGTTGACTTTTTCTTTAATCTTTGTAAAATTAAGTGCATAAATAAATTGCATATTGTTGGGGTCTTAAGCCTGAGGCTAGCCCCTGACCAGCAGGGGACAGTACAGGCACTGCCGGACAAGGCAAATGGGAGAGGTAAGGTCGATGGGTCAAGCATACCGCAGCAAGTATCTGTGAGTTCTGTTGAAGCAGGAACTACTTTATTGAGGAAGTGTACAGGCTTATAAAGCTCACAAAAGACATGCACAGTAGGGGAGCCAATCAGCAAAAAGCTCATGCAGGCATGGGTGGACCATGCACAGGGGCATCTTAAGCGGGGTATAGGGATCATGTACTGTCCACGTATCCGGAACTAAAGCAGACCTATCCCTGCGGGTGGTCTGATCTTAGGTAGCTTAAACACAGCAGCCGCAGACACACCCCTCGAACATCCGCCAGGCGCCATATTGTAATGGAGGTTTTAGGCAATGTCCAACATTTCCCCCTTTTTGTTTTACATTAAAGAGAGAAAGAGGAACTGAGTGGAGAGTGTGCCTGTCTTAGGTTGTCCCCTCTGACTGGGATCAGCCCTTTAGGGAGCATGTCTGTCTTAGGTTGTCCCCTTCTGGGGATGTTACCTGTCTTTGACTACTACTCCAGCTGTTAAGGGCTGCCCCATGGGATCTTACCCATCACTGGCTACCACCTCAGCAACTCAGGGTATGATATATTATACCTCTACATCTTGGCAGTGGCCATGGGCAGATGTATAGGGTTCCCAATCTGGCGCTTAAAGAGGAGCATAACCTGGTTCTTGAAGAGTGGCATATTGTTGTCAGACCACCATTAACTGGACCACAGTGATGCAATTTAGACAAATTTACAAGGACAATGGAGACCAAGGGGCCCACAAGGGGGAGGAGATAAGGAAACCATCCCCCAAGGCCCGACCACAGGTAACTAGAGCTTAGTTCATTACAATGTTTTTCAAGGTATTCTTGGAGGGTCTTGATCTTGTCCTGAATGATGCCGGAGCGATTAGCGTAAAAGCAGCACTCCTGATGTACCATGATGATCAGTCACAATGAGGCAGAGAGTCCAATATGGCCTATTCATCCCTTGAGAGCCTCGCTTAGCTACATCCGCCAGTACTTTCACTTAGGCCAGAGTCAGTCCTTCTCTCGGGCCAGAGTCAGTCCTTCTTTAGGGTTCGTTCCAGTCTGTTGTGCCCCACGTTGGGTGCCACTTGTTAGGGTCTCGAGCCTGAGGCTATCCCCTGACCAGCAGGGGCAGCACAAGCACTACCCGACAAGGTGAACGGGAAAGGTAAGGTCAACGGGTCAAACACACCACAAGCACCTATGAGTTCTGTCGAAGCAGGAACTACTTTATTGAGGAAGTTACAGGCTTATAAAGCTTACAAAAGACATGCGCAGTAGGGGAGCCAATCAGCGAAAAGCTCATGCAGGCATGGGTGGACCACGTAAGGGGCATCTTAAGCAAGGTATAAGGATTATGCACTGTCCACGTATCCGGAACTAAAGCAGACCTATCCCTGCAGGTGGTCTGATCTTAGGTAGATTAACCACAGCAGCCACAGACACACCCCTTGAACATCCGCCAGGTGCCATATTGTAATGAAGGTTTTAGGCAATGCCCAACACATATTATCATATTCTTTCTTTCTTTTTTTTTTTTTAAGATATATTTATTTGAAAGGCAGAGTTACAGAGCGAGAGCAAGAGCGAGAGCGATCTTCCATCCACTTGCTCATGCCCCAATAACTGCAATGCTCAGGGCTGGGCCAGGCTGAAGCCAGGGGCCAGGAGCATCATCTGGGTCTCCCATGTGAGTGGAAGGGGTGCAGACACTTGAGACATCTTCTGCTGCTTTTCCCAGGCCATAGCAGGAGCTGGATCTGAAGTGGAGCAGCCGAGATTCAAACTGGCACCGATTTGGATGTAGGCTCTGCAGGTGGTGGCTTAACATGTTTTGCCACAGTGCCAGCCCCTCTCTTTCCTTTTAATTAATAAATCTTCATTGATTTTATGTTTCTTTAAATTGCTGTTATATCTATTAAAAATTTAAGATTGCTATTAAACAAAATGCTACTTACATTGTTGTTAACTTATGAGTTTACTTTCAATTGTAAGAAAGAATTCTAAATATAACACAATAAAAATTACTATACTATTATGTTGAAATTTTATCAAAATTAAATGTCTATTATTGTAAGAAACAATGCAAAATAATTAATGATGTTTATGAAAGCATTTAGTTTTGACTATTGTTAAGGTTATTTATTTGAACAGGAAAAGGGATTTGCAGTCAGTACAAAAAGTATTAATCTTTCTGTAAGTTCTTATCAAATTTATCAAGTATGAAATGTAGACATATATATGTATTATGTTAGACCATAACTGATGTATAGTTAGTTATCTGAGGTATTAAAATTGTTGATATTAAAGTAATATTAAAGAACTATGCTTTCTAGCAACATCATTATTCATGAGTGATTCATTAGTCTTTAGCAAACATATATGGATTATGATATTTCAAGAAATAATAAAACATAGTATATTTAAGTTTTACCCCCTCGTAATTTAGTTTAATAAGAAGAAAAGAACAATACCAATAAGTCACATTTGCTTTCATTTCAGATATAAAATATGCATTTCAGGATATTAAAAGTATGAAGAAGAGAAGAAAAGTATTGAGGGAAAATTAGGAAGTAAAATATCAAATTTTAAAATGATAAATTTTAAAAATATATTTTGAGAAAAATAAATCCCAATGGTTTTGAATATGTAGCAAGAAAAAATTTAAAGCAAAGTTGTCATGGTACACTAAAAAAAGATTTTTATGTATGTAAATTATACTTTACTAAAGCTATTTTTAAAATGACTGCTATAGACTGCCAACTATTGAAGTTAAAATATATCAAGATTTGACAAGCACCAATCATAGTTTCAAGCTTCCTTAAAGAAAAACACAATTTTTTTCAGAATTAAAATAATCTGTTTAAGCGAATACAGAGGAATGTAGCCATTGATAATGCTGATGAATATTTCCTTAAATGTAAAAACATCTGTTTCATTACTTTTACTAATGATATTTTATAATCAAATTTGTAATGGAGACATTTTCATAAAAAATGAAGGATTTTATTTAAAAATGGCTCATTCCTGTATCTCAATAAAATAAGATCTCAGTGATAATCTAATTCATTCAAATGTTTGACATTTTGATAAAATCTGAAATTGAATCACCTTTACTCTTGTAAAAATATATTTGAGATCATTATGAACATATAGGTGGCAAAATCAAAATGTGCTATAAGAAACTTAGCAGTTAGCAATATTTGGTTTTGGATTTTTCAATCTGTACTATACTCATGGAATAACTGGTTTTAGACTCACAGAATAAAGTTTTTACATTGTAATCACTGTGTAGTGGTAGAAGAACAGATTTTCTAACAAGGCTCTCTTCCACACTAAATTCAAATGAGAGGATATTTTGGAAAACACCAGGAAAGAGTACCCAATATGTTGTCAATGTCAGATATGGGTGGTAAATACATTTCCATGCCTAAAATACTCTCATGGGCTCTTCAGCCAGATTCGAATGCCTTAAGGGCTGATTTTTTTTTTTCTTTTGGTATTTACTGGCAGAGTTAAACAGAGAGAGAAAGAGAGAGAGAGAGAGAGAGAAAGGTCTACCTTTTTCCGTTGGTTCACTCCCCAAGTGGCCGCCATGGCCTGCACGTTGCAGCCGGCGTAATGAGCTGATCTGAAGCCAGGAGCTAGGTGATTCCTTCTGGTCTCCCATGTGGGTGCAGGGCACAAGGACCTGGGCCATCCTCCACTGCACTCCTGGGCCACAGCAGAGAGCTGGACTGGAAGAGGGGCAACCGGGACAAACTCCAGCGCCCCAACCAGGACTAGAACCTGGGGTGCCGGCGCCGCACATGGAGGATTAGCCTATTGAGCCGCAGCACCAGCCTAAGGGCTGATTCTGAGGCCAGAGTGCTGTTTAGGACATCTGCCATTCTATGAGTCTGCTGTGTATCTCCCTTCCCATGTTGGATCTTTCTCTCCCTTTTTTATTCTATCAATTAGTGTTTGCAGATACTAGTCTTGTTTATGTGATCCCTTTGACTATTAGTCCTATCATTATGATCAACTGTGAACAGAAAGTGATCACTTTGGCTAGTGAGATGGCATTGGTACATGCCACCTTGATGGGATTGAATTGGAATCCCCTGGCACATTTCTAACTCTACCATTTGGGGCAAGAACGATTGAGCATGTCCCAAATTGTACATCTCCTCCCGCTCTTATTCCCACTCTTATATTTAACAGGGACCACTTTTCAGTTAAATTTCAACACTTATGAAAGATCTCTGCAAGTGAGATCCCAGTAGAAAGAATGGGTCATAAAAGAAGGAGGTACATTTCTCGGAAGGGAAGAGAGAACTTTCACTTTGACTATGACTTTGTCTGAATAAGATCAGACTTGGTGAACTCAAAAGGCCTCCATAGCCTTGGCAACTCATGACAAGAGCCTAGGGTGATTACTGACGCCATAAACAAGAATGTCAATTTGTTAAGTCAACAACAGGAGTCACTGTGCACTTATTCCTCATGTAGGAGCTCTGTCCTTAGTGTGCTGTACATTGAGATTTAATGCTATAACTAGTACTCAAACAGTATTTTATACTCTGTGTTTCTGTGTGGGTGCAAACTGTTGAAATCTTTATTTAGTATATGCTAAATTGATCTTCTGTATATAAAGATAATTGAAAATGGATATTGATGTGAATGGAAAAGGAGAGGGAGTGGGAGATGGGAGGGATGCGGTGGGTGGGAAGTTATGGAGGGGGAAACATTGTAATCCATCAGCTGTACTTTGGAAATTTATATTCATTGAATAAAAGTTAAAAAAATACATCTCCAAAGCCCTCAATCCTTTTGACTGAGGGAATTGTATTGTGGTTCTATCATCAGCCTGTGTGATAAACATAAAAAAATGTAGGATATTGTGTTTTATTTGAAATAAGTGGTTTAACTTGCATTTCTCTTTATCTTAGGTAAAATTATTCAAGGATATGATTGGACATAAAATATAATTTATGTTCTCCTCTAAAGAAAACAACAAAGATATTTTAATGGTTCTGTTAAAGATAAAATAGATTAATGAAAAAAGTATTAAAATTTACATATATATGAAATATTATTGGTTTCAGTTTTAGGGAATACAAGATTCATTAATATTAATCTGTTTTTCAGTCATGTTCCATAGAAAATTCTAAATTTTGCCTTCAATTTTAGAAAGTTTGAACCTAAAGATATCATTATGGACTTAATGTTGTTTTAGAATCAGAGTAAAAGTGGTAGGTCATCATTTTTACTGATGTGCAGTCTGAAGGCCAGCTGAAGATTTTTATATTTAGAAAAATACAATGGGCTGAGGTCACTGTTGACAGTGCTGGCATCCCATGTTTTCACCACTTGAGCCCTGGAAACTCAGCTTCTGATCCAACTCCTTGTTAATGTGCCTGGGAAAGCAGTGGAGGATGGCCCAAGTGCTTGGACCCCTGCACCCACATGATAGACCCAGATGAAGGTTCTGGCTCCTAACGTCAGCCTAATCCAACCCCAGCCCTGGCCACTGTGGCCATTTGGGGAGTGAGCCAGTGAATGGAAGATAGTCATTCATTCATTCTCTCTCGCTCTCTCTCTTTCTGACTTTCAAATAAATAAATCTTGAAGAATAAATAATAGCTAGATCTCTACTAACAATCAGAAATTTTTTCACTTATCTAATAATCCAAAAAGATAGCTATAAACATAGGGCTCAAATCTTGAGGGTTGATATTGATTTTATTATTGCTATAGGCAACGACAGGAATGAACATTAACTGTTAGAGTCTTAGGATTATTGTCATAAGATTTCTTGAATAGTCCCCATTTATCTGTAGGGGATACATTTCTAGAACCTTCAATGGATGTTTGAACTCTGGACTGTACCATATATAATATAAATGGTATATAATATACACATGATAAATCATAATTTATAAATTAGGTATAGTAAGAAATTAACAGTAGTATTAATGTTGGGACAAGTGTTCAGGCATAGCAAATTAAGCCACCACTTGTGACAATGGCATCTCATATGGATACCGGATCATGTCCCAGCTGCTATATTTCTAATCCAGCTCCCTGCTAATGGGCCTGGGAAAGCAGAATAAGATGGACCATGTGCTTGAGCCCTTGCACCTACACTGGAAACCCAGAAGAATCTCCAGGTTTCAGCCTGAACCACCCCTAGCTGTTGCAGCCATCTGGGTCATGTACCAGCTGATGGAAGATAGATAGATAGATAGAGAGATGATCGATCTCTCTTTAACTATGCCCATTAAATAAATAATTTTAAAAATAACAAAAATCAATGTTCAAATAAAACAATTATCACAAGATATTGAAATAATAGAGAGAGGTGGTCTTTGTCTCTCCTTTCTCCTCAATACAGGCTCATCGTTCTTGCTGACCATGAGTGAGTGACCACTGAAAGAAAGATCGCTGATAAGGAATGATTGCCTATTAATTTTCAGACTAGAGATTTAACTGCTACCTTCTGCATTCTGTCTTCTGTCTTTATAATATAACATCCCTTAAATAGTGTTGATAGCCAAAATAATTTGAAAATATCTATTTTTATACCATCAAGTGAAAATTCTTTGGGAAAAGTTTAACTGCAGTAAACTTGTTCATATTTATTAATGTATAAGTTAAACATTTTTATAATTATTACAAAAATAAATTCCACTATTGTTTTTAGACAAAAGAAAAGAAAAATATATTTATATTGAGTTTGATATCTGGGTTCAGAATGCTACATTTTAAAGAAACAACTGTACAGATAATTCATACTTCAAATTGGCCTAAACCAAGCTACACTATGGAAACAAACAATCCCAACATGTTGCTAGTTCACCAGAAAGACTGGACTATTAAAAATATTTATCTTAGGTTAAATGTAACAGTTACCTATTTTTAATATCCAAGGATCAAAACTAAATGATAAAACCCAACTAGAATATTTTTGATCTTATCACAGAGGAAAGATGTATAACCATGGGGCAACATAATGACTCTGAACTTCTTATATGTCACTAGCACTACTTCAATTCACATTCACACACTGTCAGCCAAAGCACATCACATGGATAACTGGTAATTAAAATGGACAGAGTTTACAAGCTCTCCGGTAAGGGTCACTATACATCAATCATGACGACTATATAGTGCTAAATTACACTTTGAACAGGAATAAAATCAAGGACACTTTCTCTCTGGCCACAGATACTAATTCCTCTTCATCTGACATGTAAAACAAGCTTATCCACTCCTGAAGAAAGAACGTCATCAGTATCACATAAAGTAGTGAAAGAGAGATTACATCCTGGATATCATTATCTCACTATGTCTGGATGTGACTTCTTTTCCTTTGGGAGCCTGTGAACTAAAATGACAGGTTACTTACCCCATGCCTATTAAGCCCAAATGAGAACAACAAAAGCATAACCAATATATCTCACATTTAGAAATAGAATAATGGGAGACATAAATTATGTACTGTACTGAACCATAGTAATTTTAAAATTCTCCTGGGAGGAAAGGTCCCATACCATCAAGATTGAATCTATTTATTTGAAAGA